ACAGCACTTAGCCTAATTCAAGGGAACCTGGGGCAGGGTGCTCCTTGTGTCTAAGTCTTTTGGGAGCAGAACCCCAAAGTGACAAGGAAAGTCTATTTATAGAGGGTGTAGTTTGGAGGTTGGAGTCTCAGAGGTGCTTCCATTGCTCCAAAGTGTAAGAGGAAAAGGATTTGAGGGGCAGAGATTCCATCACCACGTCCTGGGGAAGTGTGTTGCTGTTGTTGTCAGGTGCCATCGAGTCGCCTCCAACTCATAGCGACCCTATTCACAGCAGAATGAAACACTGCCTGGTCCCACGCCAACTCCACGATCCTTGCTATACTTGAGCCCATCATTGCTGCCACTGTGTCAATCCATCTTGTTGAGGGCCTTCCCCTCTTTCGTGGACCCTCCACCTTACCAAGCATGACATCCTTCTCCAGGGAATGGTCCCTTCTTACAACATGACCAAAATAGGTGAGACAAAGTCTGGCCATTCTTGCTTCCAAGGAGCATTCTGGCTGCACTTCCTCCAGAACAGATTTGTTAATTCTTTTAGCAGTCAGTCCATAGTACTTTCAGCATTCTTCACCAACACTACAACTCAAAAGCATCAACTCGTCTTCAGTCTTCCTTGTTCATTGTCCACATGCATATGAGGTGATTGAAAATATCATGGCTTGTGTCAGGCGCACCTTAGTCCTCAAGGAGACATCTTTGCTCTTCAGCTCTTGAAAGAGGTCCTTTGCAGCTGATTTGCTGTATGTCGTCTGATGTCCTGACTGCTGCTTCCAATGCCGTCGATTGTAGAACCAAGCAATGCGAAGTCTTTGACAACTTCAATCTTTTCTCCATTTATTGTGATGCTGCTAATATGCCCAGTTGTGAGGATTTTTGTTTTCTTTATATTGAGATGTAATCCATACCGCAGACTGTATTGTTCAATTTTCATCAGTAAGTGCTTCAAATCATCCTCACTTTCAGTAAGCAAAATTGTGTCATCAGCGTATCGTTGGTTGCTAATGATTCTTCCTCCAATCCTGATGCCACATTCTTCATATAGTCTAGATTCTCGAATTATTTGCTCAGTGTATAAATTGAATAAGTATGGTGAAAAGATACAACCCTAGCACACACCCTTCTTGATTTTAAACCAAACAGTGTCCCCTTGTTCTGTTTGAATGACAGCCTCCTGATCTACGTACAGGTTCCTCATGAGTACAATTAAGTGTTCTGGAATTCCCATTTTTCTCAATGTTATCCATAATTTGTTATGATCCACACAATCAAGTGCTTCTGCATAGTCTATAAAGCACAAGTAAACATCTTTCTGGTATTTTTTGCTTTCATCCAAGATCCATCTGACATCAGCAATGATATCCCTTGTTCCATGTCCTCTTCTGAATCCAGCTTGTATTTCTGGAAGTTCTCCGTCAATATACAGCTGCAACCATTTGTGAATTATCTTCAGTAAGATTTTATTTGCGTGGGATATTAATGATATTGTTGGATAATTTCCACATTCTGTGGGCTCACCTTTCTTTGCAATGTGTATAAATATGGATTTCTTTCAGTCAGTTGGCCAAATAACTATCTTCCAAATCTCTTGGCATAGCCAAGTGAGTGCCTCCAGTGTGGCATCTGTTTGTTGAAACATCTCAATGTGTATTCCATCAATTCCTGGAGCCTTGTTTTTTTGCCAGTTCCTTCAGTGCAGCTTTGACTTCTTCCTTCAGTACCATTGGTTCTTGAACATATGTCACCTCTTGAAATGGATGAACATCGACCAGTTCTTTTTGGTGCAGTGACTCTGTGTATTCCTTCCATCTTCTTTTGATGCTTCCTGCATCATTCAATATTTTGCCCATAGAATCTTTCAATATTCCAACTCTAGGCTTAAATTTTTTCCTCAGTTCTTTCAGCTTGAGAAATGCCGAGCATGTTCTTCCCTTTTGGTTTTCTAACTTCAGGTCTTCACACATTTCATTATAGTAATTGGCTTTGTCTGCTTGAGCTGCTTTTTGAAATCTTCTGTTCAGGTCTTTTATCTTGTCATTCCTTCCATTTGCTTTAGCTATTCTTTGCTCAAGGGCAAGTTTCAGAGTTTCTTCTGACATCCATTTTGATCTTTTCTTCCTTTCTCGTCTTTTTAATAACATTTTGCTTTCTTCATGGATGATGTTCTTGATGTCATCCCCTAATTCTTCTGGTTTTCAGTCATTGGTGTTCAATGCATCAAATCTAATCCTTAGATGGTCTCTAAATTCAAGAGGGATATATTCAAGGTCATATTGTGGCTCTCTCGGAAGAATCATTAACAACCTGAGATATGCAGACGATACAACTTTGCTTGCTGAAAGTGAGGAAGACTTAAGGCACCTACTGATGAAGGTTGAATACAGTCTGCAGTATGGATTACATCTCAATATAAAGAAAACAAAAATCTTCACAACTGGACCAATGAGCAGCATCACAATAAATGGAGAGAAGATTGAGGTTGTCAAGGAATTCACGTTGCTTGGTTCTACAAT